TGTTAATGCAACTGCTGCATGAATCTTTCTTGTCGTCCAAGAAAAGAAAAAAAGTGGTATTCGTGTGATGTCAGCACGGGCTTCCTGGGGTGTTGCCACGGGCAAGGCATCTGCCTGGGAACAGGGCCTCATTATTTCCCATTCTCAGTGAACTTAACGTACAGTGCCAGCCAGTGACACCCGCCCACTCACTCAGGAACTACGCCGGAAGCTGTGTGGTGGACGTGTGAACTGAGCTGGGTCGCAGCAGAAGTGCAGGGTGTGGAGGAAGTACACGCACGGTTGGAATTCACCGGGCAGTACTGCATATCCGTGTATGTAGAGTGTGTGTGTGGGGGGGGGGGGGGATATCATGGTATGATGTACATTTGCACATTGCTGCCGCTTTCCACAGCTTCTTTTGCTTGTATTTGTCTCTTCTCTTGTTGTGTGTACATGTTCTAGACTGGCACAGCATATCACGTACGTCCACCAGCACTCCGTACAGCCACCGACCGAATACGAACCTCTGCCAATGAAGCATGTTGCGTGAGTGCCTTCGTTACGCTGGTGTTCGGTTGATCTGACTCTAAGTTACCTTTGCATTCCATGCAAGTTTGAGGAAAGAAAGTCTGCTGCGTACTGAGAAAAGATCTTCTCCAGGCTTCTTGGAATTTGTCCGGAGATTGAGGCTTTTGGAATTTGTGTAGGACCGTTTTTGTTTGTGAACGCCTTCTTCATGGTAGAAACTCCCAGTTCCCCGGAAGGTCTTACATGTACCAGTATTTCTCTCTCTTTCTCTGTCTTGCTCAGCCGTTACATTGCTCTTGCGAAGCAGAAGACGCCCGTTGTTCCCGAAGCTCTGACGGACTACTTTGTTGGTGCGTATGTTGAGATGCGGAAGGAGGCACGCAACAGCACTGACACAACTTACACGTCTGCTCGAACCTTGCTCGGTATCCTGCGTCTTTCGACGGCTCTGGTAAGCCTAGATAGGGGAGTGCTGCTGGTGTTGACAATCTTGTGATGCGTGAGTTTTCGTGCTTGTCATCCAGGTTTGCGTGTTTTGCCATGTCTGCGTGATGGTGCCTTTTGTTGTGTGCTGTACTCTGCTGGCTCACCTACTCATAGCTATTGTGTATCTCTGATGGTGATGGGACCAGTCTTGACGCTTCTTTCTCTCTCGTTCATTGTCCGCTTCTTTCTCGTAGGCTCGTTTGCGTCTTGCCGATGCTGTTGAGAAGGATGATGTCAATGAGGCCATGCGCCTGATGGAGATGAGCAAGTTCTCCCTGCATGAAGAAGAGACTGGCAAGAGGTAAGTGTGAAAAGCAGCAGAAGAGCAATAGCCATGCAGGTGCTTTGCTTCTGTTTTATCTTGCGAGACCTAGAAAAGAAGAGTTGGTGTTGTGTTTGTTTTACTTTTTTGGTGATCCTGCCCCCATGTGATACTGTGTGAATGCAATTGGACCCCTGTGCTACTGAAATGCAGTCAATTCTGTTTTCATCCTCACGAAACAGCCATTGTCCCGTGAAACCTGCCTTGTATTCTGTCAGTTCTGACTCTCCTCACTCACTCACTCACTCTCTCTCTCTCTCTCTCTCTCTCTCTCCATCACTCATCAGGCACGTGAAGCCTGTTGATGCTATCTACTCAATCATCCGTGAGTTGGCCGGCGACAAGTCTGAAGTGAAGTAAGTCGACGTCCACTTGTCAGCTATACGCTGGTATCATCCTGTGTGTGACTGTTTGTTTTCCATTGCGTCACCGCATGCCATTTCTTCCTCTCCTTGCGTACCTTATGTGCTGATTTGTAGTATGTGCTCAATCATGTATTCAGGGCAAGTCGTCAACTTTGTGGGCTCTATTGTGTTTTCAGGCATGAGTCCTGGACTGATGCTGTAACACACCGGTTTGTTTTTGTTTTCTGCTCGCCCGCCCGCGCTTCCCTGCAGGGTCGACACAGCCCGCCAGCGCTGCACGACGAAGGGCTTCACGCCCGACCAGTTCTCCCAGTGCTTGGCCGAGTATGAGCGTCTGGACGTGTGGCAGGTCAACAGCGCGCAGACTCGCATCACGTTTGTACAGTAGCCACCGCCGCTGCGGTGCCTGCTCGCTATGCTGTTCAGTTGCTCTGGCCACGTTGGGACATCGTGCCAGCGTGTATTCCTGCTTTCCCCCTGTACATTGGCTATGCTGCAATAACGTCCATTATCTATTTGAAATGTTTTAGACCCGAGATGTGTATGTGTGTAAACTGACTATGTCCACTTTATCAGTGTCTTATATGAGTTGTACGTTTCCGGCTGTTTCTCGCGTTGCGCCTTTTTAAAAATGTTTTTACATTGTACTTGAGCAGAGTGTTGCTGGTAAAAAATAGTGTGCAGTGCATGTCTCCGATATTGCACATCATCTGCATTATGCTCTACTAGGTGTTCATAGCCTGATCCGTGGCCTACCGTTCGTACGTCTTTGTGAACTCTTTCTACTTTTCATCTGTTTTACTTTTTATCACTTCCAGTACTTCGAAGTATGTACTGATGGTACAAGCGAATGAGATGTTAAAAAGTGCAACATCATTATATGTACCGCGTGTACGTCGTCTACGCTTTATGAATGGCAAGTTCCCCGGGCAGACCGCAAGGCCATGCTGGACAACATTCATGAGGAGTGTTACATCAATCCCAAAGGGTTGTTGCTCTTTACAGCGTGTTTTACTGACTCTCTTTCCTGAAAAGTTTCTGTTTGTGTTGCCATGAACGAGAGGGGGGTGAAAGGCAGCCGAGAAGGAGTCTTATTACAGCGGATTCACACAACCCCTGAAGGGAATGGTATTTGTGCCTGAAATGCCTGGATATAGGTGTTGGAACAAGGAGGAGACGAAAAGGCAACTCAAACTGCAGTGCAGTTGCACCGGGTGCATTCTCAACCAACAGAAGAAAAACTTACAAATCTAATAGATTGTACAGGAATCAGTAAACCCAATTTCTTGTGTTTCTATAATTATAGGTCAAATCAAAGAGAGGTGGTTGAATGGCTCATAAGGTATAATTATATAAAACAGAGAGGTTCCATATCGTTTGGTATAATTATAATAGACAGCTGCATGGTTTGATGCCGATTGGGTCAAGCTTGGTGACGCAACCTTTAGTTCAGCTGCTGCAGAAGATCATAACAAGATGTACTCGCTCGTTCAGTTAGCTCTCTTGGTGACATCAGGGTCTCGCGCTGAGCACCGGCTGTAAGTGGAAGCGTGAGCATTGTCTTGGAAGCGGTATCCTGGCGGGTTATGGCAACACCCGGCCCATATCTGCTTAGTTGTTCCGGAGCTGGTGACCTGCTTATGCTGTGGCTGCTGCCAATGCCAGAGTGATACGGAGAGCGACACCGACTCGGCGACAGCCTGGCAAGCAGGTCCTCTATGATCTTATCCTGCTGGCCCCCATTGGCACTGGCCGCGCCCTTGCGTAATGATGAGACAAAGCTGGCCGTGTCCCCACTGGGCATAAGACTACGTTTGGCAGCACCGGTGCCGGATGACGGCATTGTGTGAACACGCTGCCGTGTCCACAGGCTTGCCGCTATCTCCTCCATGCTGTTTGAGCCGCTGAGGCTGGAGCAGGACGGGGAGGGTGACGAGGGCTCTGACACGACTATGGTAGCACGTCGCGATGACTTCGGGTAGTCGTAGTCGACATCGTAGTCTGGAGCTGCTGCCGCTGACTGACCACGCGTGTTGGAAATGTTCTGCAGTGCTGATACACTGGGCGAGAAGTCATCCATGGACACAGCTATGGTCGAGACGCAGCTGAACACAGAGTTACAGTTTGACCGCTCGTTGCCGGGACCATTACGCGTAGATGTCTGGCCAGTGGCCGTGTCCCTACTGTCCAGAGGCAGCACTCCAGCGGGACAATTCTCCAGGGCAGCCAGTGGAGCATCTTTTAGTTGGATATACTCACCACCACTGTGTCCACCATTGTCGTCTTCATTATCGTCATCGTCATCATCGGACTCGCTTGGTTTTACATGCATGGCTTGTGACACTGGCACGTAATCATCCCCGTCGTCCCAGCTATCCGCATCGCCAGCACTCACCGGATCTTTGGCTGGATCTGCCATTGCCGTCTCGATTGTTTCCAGCTGCGGGGGAAAGTGAACGGCCTCTTCCTGCATACGCCGTTCGTACTCGGCGCGGATGTGTAAGTGATCGTACACGTACGGCTCGGATGACGTCGAAACATTGTCTGGAGCTGGTGGTACTTGAAGTAAGCTACCACCGGCACCCTGAGCGGGCTTACTGTCATGTGCCGGTGATGTGTCTGAGTCGGAGCCAACTGATGGACGACTTTCCAGCTCACCGTAACATGCATGGCTCTCCAGTTCACCATAGCACGGCTCTCTGCTGACAAGCGGCAACAGCCTATGCTTGCTCTTCTTCTTGGGGGTCTGCAGTGCTACGGAGGCTTTTGTCAGCGGCAGTAGGCGACTGCGGGAGTCTTGGCGCTGGGGTGGTGGCGGCGGCGATGATGGCTGCTGCACCGCCACATCGGGTATCTGCGCCTGCTGCATGTACATCATGGGTGCAGGGGAATGGTGTGTGCTGCCGTGTTGACCTTGATGAGCAGGAACTGGTGGTGGCGGTGATCGCGTAGCCAAGTCCACACCATCTCCAGCTGTGCAAACACAAAGTTGCATGGCAAACAGTGCTCTCTGCATTGTAAATAAGGTCGAGAGTACAAACCTCCCCCTCTAAGGATGAATCTCAACATGAACGTGAGTGCAAAAGTCCCCCAGAGGGTGTAACTTAAAGGGGAAGTATACCCTAAAATCAAATTTTCACCAGTTGTAGTCTTCGGGGTGCTGAGTCGAATGGTCTTGGTCCGAGGAAGCTGAGACACTCCCTTCCTACTTGAATCCCAATCGAACTCGCGCACTTCCACCGAAACTGGGTGACTGCGCCCTACTAGATGGGGATTTGTATGCAAAATGTCACTAAAAGCGCCATTTCGTTCTTATAAAAGCACGGATGACCGCGATTGGCCCATATGTTGTAGTCTTTTGGACGCTGAGTCGACTGGTTTTGGTCCGAAAAGGCTGCGATGCAGCGTTCCTCCTTTATTCCCAATCGAACATGGTTGAACAAGCGGTCACGTGCTCCTGCGTACACCAGTCAGCTGGTCACCGTGCCTGCAGGGTACAACTTACTAGCCTGTTTGACCTTTTTTGGGTGCAGTCCTGTCACTCGAGTTGAACTCGAGTTGAACCTTGGTGTGAAAGTTGTCGCCTGCTGGGCCAGTGCTGGCGCGGTGACCAGGTGATTTGGGCACCCAGGAGCACGTGACCGCTTGTTCAACCATGTTCGATTGGGAATAAAGGAGGAACGCTGCATCGCAGCCTTTTCGGACCAAAACCAGTCGACTCAGCGTCCAAAAGACTACAACATATGGGTCAATCGCGGTCATCCGTGCTTTTATAAGAACGAAATGGCGCTTTTAGTGACATTTTGCATACAAATCCCCATCTCGTGGGGCGCAGTCACCCAGTTTCGGTGGAAGTGCGCGAGTTTGATTGGGATTCAAGTAGGAAGGGAGCGTCGCAGCTTCCTCGGACCAAGACCATTCGACTCAGCACCCAGAAGACTACAACTGGTGAAAATTTGATTTTAGGGTATACTTCCCCTTTAACATAAATGTCCACCACGACTCGTGTTCAGAATTACATGTACGCCATGTTCGTGATCTACGGTACCTGACTGGCACCGCACACAAAACCGCTGTGCGCACGGTCAGCCTTGCATCTCGAAAGCATTCAAAAAGCCGTAGTGTAGTGCTGAAAACGAGTTGTGACTGCCACTCATCGGCAGTTTCATGCACTCCGGGGAGCTCTGTGCTCTTGCCATTGCATACTATGGTAGGTGAGCTATGTGCTCTTGGCATAGCATAATGTATTGACATGCTGACCAATTCTAGCATTTCAATGCCATTGGTTCAATTTTGCACACTATGTTTTCCTCTAGACTGTGCATGTGGTACATTCGTTACAAGGAGACTTACATGGAGCAGGGATGCAGGCATCACTTTCACCGCCGTCATGAAACACATCGGGGTCCTCTTCAAACGTTTCCAAGAACTGCTGTGTGTCCTGATCTGTTGCTGCTGCTGCCGCCACCGCGGGACGTGGCTGCGTTAACTTGCTTGGTAATGGCATGGGCATGCCCTGCGCTGGAATCGAGCCCAAAGACCGGCTACGCTGACGCAGCAGGTTGCGGTGCATGTGTTTAACCAGCTGCTCCTTGTGCTTCTTGACGTCCATTCTCCAGTCATTGGAAGTCTCCCCGCCGCCGTCGTCATTGTCATCACCAGCCGGATCGTCAGTCTGCGATAGTGGCCGTCCATGCTTGAACGGACTGGCCTGCTGGCCGTGTCGGCGGATTGCACCTCGCGGCTGGTGAGACTGAGCTCCCAGATTCACCGACAGCGGGCGACGGCGAATTGCACCGCCGGCGCCGACTGCAAACCGGTCGCGCACGGAGAATATCGTCTGGTGCTCGTTTGACGTCTGTATGGTATGCCCCGCACCTCCCAGCACACTCTGTAGGTTGCACTGCAGGGCCTGGACAACGTCGGGACGAGAATTGTTCGGGCACAGCAGGAGAATCTTCTCCGTTGCCAGCGGACTGTCGCGTGGCTGCACCTCCACCCAGAGCAGTGAGCCGTCGTGGGCATAGCCGAAGCGCAGTATGTCGGCAATGTGACAGCCGTACAGTGTGGTTTCGCTCAGTGCCTGTCGGATGTGCAGCTGCTCGGGATTGCGATGAGGATGAAAGGCAAGCAGTGCATCCGTCATTGGCACCTGCTGGTCCGGTCCGATGCGGACATGAAAAATACTGGGCAGGAAACCTGCATAAAAGGATAAAACACCATATAAGGCATGCTGTCTTTCTGCTTCGTCTTTTGACCACATCCCACCAGGCACCATAACAATGAGTGCCTGTCTCATGAAATGCAGGTAGTACCCAGCTACAGATTGCCCTTGCAGCACTCTGGCAGACTGCCTTGGGTACAGGACAAAGTCCTCACTTGTGCAGCATACTGCACACTTGTTACAGTACACCTGAAGTAGATTAGAGCGTCGCTGAAAGCTCCCTTTGCATCCAGCCTTGCTGGCCATATCACAACCTAATGACGTCATTGAAGGCTGTAGTTCCTCCACTGTTTCTCCAAGGTCAGAGCAGCACTGCTTTCGTACCAGAAAAGTACACGGCATATCATAGTGGTGTGAGCAGACACATCTCACCGACTGCACTGACCAGACTTCCCCGACTTTGCTTGCTAAGCACACCGTTTTTCCACGACGTCATTTCAAGGCGCAGAACTAGTGAGACACATGCGAGTACTGCACTATGCATCCACATGTGACACTCAATCCGCTACACATGTCCCAGGGCCGTAGATCAAAACATCCGCGGTGTGGTGGCAATGTGCCTGAGCAGGTCCGCGGTCTGGTGGCCGTGTACCACCGGCAACCTCATAGCCGCCATTTTGCCTGTTTCGATGATGTAATACCTATGACAGCTATTTGCTGGCGTGGTGACCAGACAACGCCGACTATACACGAGCTACGCGCCTGAGTCCGCAGTGCACCCTGATTTTGCTACCTACCGTTGGCCCTCTCCACCGCCAAGCTGGCTTTGACCTCAGCTACCCAGTCCAGCATATCGCTGTCATTGGCGGCGCGGAAGTGCAGCTGCTTGTCGCTGGTCTGCAGGACAAAGCTGAGACGCTCCTGACCGGCAGCCTGCTTGCCATTCTCCTTGCCACCCTTGTAGATAGCATGGATGTCAGCCAGCGGTACGCTGAGGTAGCGCTTACTCAACCCCAGTAAGCCACCGGTGATGCACATCAGGATGAACTGCTCTGCATAAAGCACAGGTAGGACAAGAAAAAGACCAGCAGAGAGCGTTCACCTTCCGCTGCTTTTCAACATGGTGAATAATGAATGGCTGGCAATGGAACAAACAATCATGCGCTATTCAGCTTATTGTCATGATGCAGCATGTGGTGTACTCAAAGCAGATCAGATTCCACAGACCGTAGAGCCATTCGCACACATTGCATAATGATCAATGTGCTTTGGGAAAGCTGAGGAAGCGGCAGCAAAGCAATGTCTGATTTACATAGCAGCTTTGCAGCAGAAAGAGCGAGCCATCTTACTTTTTCCAAACGTGTTCATGGCATAGGAAGTGGACATGACGAGCTGCACCCGGCATGCTTTCCAAACCTGGAGTCGTTTCTGTGGACAGCACAATGAAGTAAGGAAGATGTCAATAACAAACAGCGCCACAGTAAGGAATGATACGACTCGGCATGGCGCTTTCCACAGGACCGGTTTCTACACTGTGTTTGGATACTCCAACGAACCCTATATAAGGGAGTCTGGAAATGAGAACTTGCTACCATACCGGCTACACGTAAATGGAAATCTTCTTTTTATAATTGAAGGTATCCACAAGTTAAATATTATTTTTATAATTGAAGGTGTCCACAAGTTCCACGCTGACTTAATTCCAGCATATCCGTTACAGTGTGCAGGTGAACATGCTTACTCATGCCCCTAGACTACTATACCATAGGCACAGGGGGATTGCTAGAGGCCTGCCATGTATCCGTGCCATGGTTGTTGCTGTGCATTGCATCATGATAACGTGCATCATACTGCACCAACAACAAGACTGCACTTGTACCGATGCATGTGCTGTGATACCACCCATGGCACCGTACCTTTCCATTGCGAACTTCGAGCATGAGGCGACCGTCCTTAGCCACCTCCTGGGGCATGCAGTCAAACTTCTTCGCCTCCTCATCGCAGTCATCACTAGAATCACGCTGTAAATTAAAGAAAAAAATCAATTCAAGAAAACTGTATACAAGAACAGCATACTAGGACTAGCAAGTTATTCAAATAGCTCTTTGTTGCAGAAATGTTCACCGCACAACCTCCAACACCGGTTCAAATAGATATCTTCCAAATTTCCATCCACGTTGGCGGCACTAAAAAAAGTCGGGGATTAGTACTTCGGAAGTAGAAGGATATGGATACAGAGACTGATGTACATGGCACAGGGGTTTAATGTAGCGTCATAGATCATGTGGCAACAATTCACACAGGCAACGGTATCAGTGATAGCTATGCTGGTGCTACGGTGACCGTGTTGAAAAGATAAAGGAAGCATGCAGATATATTGCAGCTGCTGTGTATGTCACTGAAGTGTTCAGATTGGTGAATATTCTTACGTCAGATGACAGCAGTGGAACTAGTCATTGTAAATTGGAGAACTTTGAAAGTTGTAATGCAGCTGTGTATATATGTGGTCAATACACATGTACTTCAAATGGTAAATATTGCAATATCAATGTACAGTGGTCATCAGCTCAACTACACCACACTGATTTCATATTTGATAAACTGAGCATACGTTGTCAACCATGCCTCTCTAGGATCTTACCCTTTTCCCTTTACGCAGCTTCAGGGTCTTCGGAACCTTGGCCTTCTTGTCATATTCATTGAACGAACGCCCCTTCAGTAGGGTGGTGTCTGACTTAGCTCTCTTCCAGCTGTGTGTTCGCTTTGGTGGTTGGTTGGACATCCCAGAGTTCTGTGCAGGGTAAAGAAAGAATGCATGGCAAAGTGTCACTGTCATCCTGTCCATGATAAACGTGATAGGATAGATAGCCATCTTAACCACCACTCTATGCTAGGCAGAGTTATCTAGATAGCATCACCAGCACCAGCACCACCAGCACCACCAGCAGTTTGCAGACCACTGCAGACCACTGCAGATCATTGAAAATCCAATACTGCACTGGGTATATGCATGCTGTATGCCATGGATCCAATGTGTTGCACCACAATGCATGCAGAGGAATCTCCTGTCCAACAAAACTCAATACTAGTATTCAAAAAGTTGGTACTGTCACACATTGCGCGCGAAGCATTTCAAGTTGACAATACCACGGTGCTTGACATCCATTTCACAACTCACGGTGTCAAGTTCTGGAATATTGATGCTCTTTCACAGGCCAGTTACAAGCTGAGTGGCTGTATCCCCAGCAGTTATGCACGCATACTGGTGACCAATATTAGTCCTCACAAGCTGCAGCATATGTCACAGAAACACAGCGGGGGACTTTGAAATATCCCCGGGCTTGGCACCTCTTTATGTCCGACACGCAACAATTACTTGTTTTTCCGGTATCAGACAGTTTTGTGCTAATTGTTGCACATTTTGACTCATCATTATCCTGCTTATAATCGTTAGTATTGGACACTATGGATAGCTTGTAAACTTATGGTCCTCTATTTTTTAATTTTAATCCTTGGCTTTCCATCCGAGTTTTCCAGTATCGTAGTGCATCATTTAGACAGCGGGTACAGTACTAGTACTTTCAGTAGTGTTATCGTGACTGGAGTGACTGGACTGACTGGACATACTGTTTACACTGCTGGCCTGTGAAACTCCGCAATCGTAAGTAGAATAGCATTGTGCTGTGGCGTATGGTGCTATAGTGCGTAGTGTGGCATAGCATTGGACGGCGGTGCATGATGCATGTACCACCATGACTCATGAGCACTAAACTGCAGAGTTGTAGCCATAGTGACATTATGCATTTACAGGTTATGCCTTATGGGATTACATCATCAGCGAATCCGCTAATTAACCACCATGTCATCCGTGATTTGCAGAGCCTCTAACTTATAGCGGTGAGTACAGCACATTGTGCATCTATAGTGTGTGCTGTGCTATCGAAGATGAGCCCAATATTTTTCGGTATACAATAATTATCATCAAATGTGTGAGTGAGAGGAAATGATTGACTTGATGATTATGATGGTGCCCAAAGGTTCCATTCATGTAGATCTACATGATACTGGATCGACTGTCATGATTCATGAATGAGCACTGCAAACCTGATCAATCATCAGCTCCGTGGCCTCATTGTATTTTCATTTCACACCCACAAAATAAAATCATTGAGTTCAAGAAAGTAGAAGGGTCACTTGCGCGGCGAAGTCTACATGGCCTATGATAGTCTATGGAAGCTGCAAAAATGGAGTGAAAAAGCGGAACTACAACCCATCATAAACGACGGTCGATACAGTGTACCGCAAACAGTGGATCTACAGCCTAAGCCACATATAAAAGTCATGTATGACATTGGCGCGGTTGTGATCTGTAGGAGCATAAACGAAACAAAACGCTACTTCGATGCATGTCACTGCGACCTACCCTAACCCCTGAACTTCACAGCATGTACCGGTACATGTAGGTCTAGTCTATTTAGAAGCTAAACCTCTTCTAACATTTCCGAAATGACCTTACCGTTGCCCTTGCCCGAAGGACGCGTCCTGGATGCGCCAATGGTTCCGACTTAGCCCTACCGTTGGGCCAATTCCGTCTTGTCCACGTTCTTCTCCTGGAGCCGCCTACTCAACGAAGTTCCGTACGAAAGCGGACGGACACTTTGTAGCCCTTCTCAGCACATACCACTGCCACTGGACCGCCGATACGTCCAATGACGGTCTTCCTGCCGCTAGCGAAAGGAGATGCGGAATAGTGCCAGGAAGGAACTTCTGACTCCACCGCGTGGCGCCTCCACTCCAGTGAGCGATAGGGAAGCTTTTCTGTGCGCACACACACAGCTGCTCTGAGCGAGCGGAGAAGTAAAAAAAAAAGAAGAGGAGACGCGTGTACCCTGACAACTGGTAACGGGTGAAGCTCTTCTGGTGACCGCTGCGGACTTGCCGATTGGTACTGGCCACAACGCGGGGCTGCTCCTGTTCCCAGGCGCACTACAGGCAGTGGCCGTCGTGTCGTAGGTTAGGGCAGTGCGTGAAAGAGGACGACCATAGGTACACGACAATAGGTGTAGGTGAGGTTGGGTGAATCAGTCAGCAAAATAATCACCCGCTACTGCCTCCCATGTCGTTCACTCCTGGTGATTGTTGCCGCAGTGGGAAGGGCTGCGCAACAACTTAGTTCCACACAGAGCCAGATGATCATCAGCATTATACTACCACACTGCGGCCACCCAGGTACAGGGCCAAAGACATGCGGGTGCTACTGGCTGGCCAGGCAGTGGTGGCACGCTCGGGGCATCATGAACGACTTGTTCTAACGCTTCGTTGTTCTACTCCCGCCTAGGTCGTCCTCCCAATCGACATTGTACGATCGAGCTAGATCATGCACTGACTGCTGCTCAGGTCAGGAGCCGACAGTCACACTTGCAGGTCGCTGCACTACTCGTTATCCACGGCAACACTGAGTACTTGTGAAGTAAAATTAGTTGTGTGTAGCACTGACCCTCCTGCCTGTATCGCTGAGTGAGGAGCTAGGTGTTTTCTACAGGCAATGATCTTATCGAGGGTCGCCACCGCCGATCGACAATGCCTTCGGTAGGTAACTCAAATGACCGAGCGACAGCACCGCTGCTACAAGCAGCTTAGCTAGATAGTCGAGGTTCGTGAACAGGAGCGCCACGCATGCCCTTCTCTGCTTCCTCAACTGGACCAGTAGGCCAGGGGACCTTGGCACAGGGGACGTTTCTGAAGATGAAGTGCATGCTTGTAGTCCCGTGTTTCTCGCGCCCTAACTCGCCTTCACGTAGATCTATCTACACAGCGAACTGAGCGAATGTAGAGATTGTACTTCTTCTCACTTACCCTATCACCAACCCTGGTGCCAGGGTCATCAGTTGCGACCAGTGCATTCATTTGCACTACACTCTGAGGTTGATCTATCACTACGACACAAGCTGCACTATTACTAGTAAATACTAGTAGATCTACCGGTATTAGTATCAAGACTGCAGTCTGTGCAGACTAGACACAGCAAGTCTTCCTTCTTTGTGCAGTGCTGTAGCAGTTTTGTGCCTCGAGCGCTGTTGCGGACAGGGTCCTTGGGCTTGGGCCTTGACCATGTATTTCGGACCGGGGAGGAGGAACATTCACCACCTCATAGTCAGACAGCTGGCAACATAGCTATGAATGAAACGCATTTCACGGTGTCTGACACGACGTTACAAAGCTTAGTATTTGGTTCTTTGGGCGGCATCGCTTGGCATGTGAATAATTCACTGGCAAACTGAAAATTATTGTCGACGAGCCTTTGAAACAACAGTAACTGTTGATTGTGACGGAAATCACTCTCGTTGCAACATTGCTGAGTGCAGAAGTAGCCATACACTGATGCCTGGATACAGGCCTCTCGTCCATGCAGTGCGGACGTTTGCATTCGCCAAGTCACACACAGGATCTCTAGTAGAACTACAAAATAATGTAGGACGCTTGGACATGTAGATCTACATCTATCATGATGATGGAGACGTGAACAAGTGTCTTGTTCAGCACTTCCGCTTGAGCTTAGAACACGGCGGGCCGGGATGTGTTGGTGGTGGTGTGAACTGAATGGTAGCCGTAGGTAGAAGATGGACTTGTTCTGGTCGACTGTTCCGTGCTCGGTGTTGAAAGCGCCTACAGGTTACAGCCGCCACTTACTGTATGCTCATCGCCTCAGTCGGAGTCCGTCCCGTCCTTCCTCGTATGGCCAGGGTGAACACTGAACAGAGACGTTTATCATAGCGGGTGGCTGTCGCCGCGTCTTTCCGCTCATCACTGACATCAGACGTCATCTTGACTCAGTGATTCCACCTACTCTCCACATAACGCCATCACTTAGCGAACTGTCAAACTGCATTGTAGTATCACGAGTGGAGACTGGAGACTGTGCAGTGGAGGTGTTTAGCAGGTACATGTACCACAGACTACAGTAGTAGCTGTCGTCGTTTCGATCCTTCTGCTATGTTCCTCGTGTTATCGATCTGTCAAGCCGGTAAACTCATGAACTCATGATGATTTGCAATGACTACCGTACCAGGTATGTAACTAAGTGCTATGATGCCCCCTAATCCAAGACTACAACATGAAGTCATTGAAATAAGTATTAGACAGTCGTTGTCATACTGCAGTGCGTATGAACAAGCTAAATTACTAAAGCTCTGAAGCTGGGGTTTCATCTTGCTCTTCCCCCCCCCCCCCCCCCACACACACACATCACTGCCACCACCACATCCATAGCCTAGGCTATAGGCAACAACCATAGTATTTGGGAAAACCCACAGATTGTGATAACCATGGAGTAGTACAATAGTCAATACTGTATAGTTTACTTCTGTACTGAGTGTGAGACAATTACAACGAGGAAGTGAATCTAATGTTTTGAGTTACATGTATACGCAGATATGCTTGAAGAAGCAAGGTCGCTAACGTATCTTCTCAGTAACCTACATGTATGGATGTGGGAAATTCGTTAAATTTGTGACTGGCTATAATTCCACGCCTTACAGAACTCCCTGCAGCCTCGGAAGCAGCCAGTCGTTTCGTGACTTGAACATCAGCCACCGATCCAGCACACAGGCATCAGGCAGGTAGTCTCTATCGGCTATAGTATAGTGAAGGCATAGCAGTTCCGCGCTAGAGTGCAGCGTGTAATAGCTAGCCCATGGTGGAAAATGCAGGCAGGAAAATTGGCAGAATTTGGTACATTTTCTGGTATGTTTCATGCATGTTTGGTATGTGGATAAAGAAATGGAGCAGAATTCAAGGAAGTGCCCGCCGCACGGTTTGTATGGTTCTGCCAATTTCACTGCTTTTCGAGCAGAATCATCTAGGCTGCCAATATTTCAAGCCGATTATCCGCCAAACTGCAAGGGCTAACTTAGCGTGTAACGAATGAAGAGGAATCCACTACAAAACATGAACAGTCCATTCAAAAAGATAAGCAAACAGGTCAAGAAAAATGCAGGAAAATAAAGAAAATCTGAAGATCAGAATAGGGCTTGAAAGTGCTACGTCACAGCATAGCAACAATTTCAAAAATTCAAAAACTGGATCCACTTGGATCCAGTTTTTGTATGGATCCAAGCACATTTCAAGCGGTCTTACCCACAGCATGGTGATGTAGCCAGTGAAACTGACTGATTTGGCTACTGGGGGCGCGGTTACAACTGGTGGCGAAATAAAAGTCACACCTGCATGCGACATGAGTGGGTTGCTATGCACCCACATACTTAGGCAATAGCAAAGTCACACCTTAGTGGATCCAAAAATAGAAATCTGATGCCAAATTACTACTCCCTGGCCGTTTTGACGTCATCACTTTCAAGCCCTATACAGACAAGACTGCTGCAATTTTCCGGGTATAAGCCACACTTTGAACCCTCAAAATTCACCCAAAGGGGGGGGGGGGTGGCTTACATTCCGATGATCCAATAACGGTGATAAATAGGGTAAATGTCTGTATTTCGTGGCAAAAAATGGGGATGCGGCTTATACTCCGGAAAATAGGGTACATAGAAATTCTTGTCTGCATGCCGCATACTGCAATAATTATAATACAGGTCGTCCCCCTTAATACATAATCTCTGGGACTTGGCAAATGTTATGTACAGTATTAACAGGGTTTATGTACTAAACGAAAGTGTACATAACTTGCTTGTGCACCAGAATTTTTCACTTTTTTCAACTTTTCTGAGTGTTTCTTGCTACGATGACTAGGGAGCGAGATATTCTTGATTCCCTCAATATAACATAAAAATTATGTTATAACGGTCACAGTCAGCGAAGATTCTACAGTTTTAATACATGATACATGCCCAGCCGCGTCTGTACGAGTCGCTCGTAGATCTACAGTCACTCGGAAAAAAACAGAGCTTTGTCGGCTTGTGATGTGCGCTCTGATTTCTGAGCTAATTGCGTCCACAAGTAGAAACTAGAACACAATGTGCCTCCACTGGAAGGCCGAAAGACCAACAAATTATGTACTATTGAGGTAGGTGGCATGCGGGTACGGAGAAATGTTATGTACTAACGAATCCCTTCATAGCTCCCGCAAACCAAATCGAACTCCCTCAACCCCAGGGTCTACACGCAAATATCATCCATGGGTTTCCACTGAACTACGCAAGGCTATCAAGTTGAAGCGTGACCTATTCAGCCTCTCCAAGAAATTCCCTACGGACTACAACCTATCAGCATATAAGGCACAGCGGAACCAGGTGAGACATCTCTCCCGCTGGTGCCACCGCCAGTACATTCGTTCAATCAAAACAACACTTACCTCAGGCAGCACTACGCTTCACCAGTTTGTCCGCAGTCAGCGATCGCACAAAGTAAAACCTGGCATCCCTGACATTGCAAGCCCTGATGGGCTGCTGGTGTCTGACAGCTTCCAAAAAGCAACCATCCTCAACAAGCAGTTTACCTCTGTCGCGGTGCCTGATGACCCACGTTTAGTAATACCCCCTCTCCAATATGACACTCGTCTTACTCGCCAATTCACCCGCGTTCATATCACAACAGCAGATGTTCGTAAAGCTATCTCAAACCTGAAAGCTGGGAAAGCGCCAGGGCTAGACGGTATCACGAACAATATGATAAAGAAGCTATCTCCTGCGATTTCTTTTCCACTTAGCCGCCTATTTAACCTCTCCTTTACCACAGGCAAGTTCCCTACTGACTGGAAACTGGCTAAAATTGTGCCTATTTACAAGTGCAAAGGCAGCAAATCTCAAGCTAGTAACTATCGCCCAATTTCCCTCCTGTCCTGTGTTTCCAAACTTTGCGAACGGCTCTTCTTCAATCAATTATATAATCATGTTTCTCCTGCTCTGGATCCCGCGCAATCTGGGTTACGTCGTGGTGACTCGACCGCTCTACAGCTCACCAAGCTGATCCAAAACATTGCCGACCATCGTCATATGGGGCGGAAAGTTGCCATGTGCTTTTTCGACCTCGAGAAAGCTTTCGACACCGTGTGGCACCGTGCATTACTTGCTAAACTTTCCAAAGTTTTCGGTGTGTGTGACTCAGCGCTGGAGTGGATTACAGACTACCTATCCGACAGAACGCAAGTTGTCTTTGTAGGTGGACTTCTCTCAGATGCTTCACCTGTTCTGTCCGGAGTGCCCCAGGGATCCATCCTAGGGCAGGGGCGGATCCAGACCCCAAAGCTGAGGGGTGCGAGGATGAAACTTACATATTTTCTTTTGCAGTAGTAAACCAAAGACATAGTATGTTATGTGTGTTACTGTATAATATCATAATTACACATAGCACCAAGATGAGTAGTATGATTAGTTACACATTGAATGTCAAAATTTACAAGTAATTTACGACTGCTACCGGTATGATTCTCAGTCAGACACAGATTATGCTATGTACATGCTATATACACAATGTCAACTCTAGTCAGAATTCAGGGCGGCTGTTCAGTTCCTCACTCCGCATCCTGGAGAATGTTGGTCATCCTCATCTTCCGTGGGTGCTTGAGGGCGAACATGTCGACGATGTCAGTGACATCAACAGCTAAGTCGTAGCGGATGTGGAGTAGAGCTAGCCCGGCTAGTCTACTCTGTCCCATTGTACTCCTGAGGTAGGTCTTAAGGAGACGCAGGGCCGACACGCTTCGCTCACACTCGCAAGACGTGATCGGCATCACAGCTAGAATGGCTAGTGTGGCGAAGATGTTGGGGAAAGTGTGCTTGCGACACTATTGGAGTGCGGCTTGAACAGTGGAGGGCAGAGAGTCTTCACCCACGCGACTCCACTTCACCCACCAGTTGTCAAGCTCGGACGTAATAGATGAAGGTGCTGGCATATCTTCGCTGTACTGGTCGATGAAGCGTTTCAGGGAGGCCTTCCAATCTGTTGTCTTCTTCATGACAGCCGGGACTGCCACAAGACCAGACGCTGCTGCGCTCTGGGCATCGGAGAAGCGAGCGTGGAGTTCTTGAAGAAGGCAATCAAGTAGAGGCGTGGTGATGGTGATGCGGAAGTGGTCCTCTGCTGATGCACCTGGTACGGTAGGGTTGGCCCGATGGACTGATCTCCCACATGCGCGAGGTGCCTTCAACTCGATGCCAGCATCATCAGCAACCTTCTGCACAGCTTCGTACCACTCCTTGTGCTTCTCTTCTACTTTGGTGCGCAGCATTTCCAAAGTGTCGTCTGTCGATCGTTGTCCTGACGTCCTGATCACATGATTGCACACAAATCATCCGCGGATCCGCGCAGCGAGCCTGGGCCTGGCCTGGCCTGACCTTTTTTTTTTTTTTTTTTTTTTTGGAAAAATCCTGACGGGTTCATTTGCACCCTTCGCACCCCCCTGGATCCGCCCCTGTAGGGCCCCTCCTTTTCCTAGTGTATATAAAATTAATGATCTTCCCAGTCATGTTGAAGGTGTGTCCTTATTTGCTGACGATACTGCACTGCTCCAGTTCAATGAGTGTCTAGACAGGCTGCGAGACAGTCTCCAGCGCGGTATCAACGAAGTCCATCAGTGGATGACTACCTGGAGACTAAGACCTAATATCGCCAAGACTGAGATATTATTCCTGCCGAACTCAGAGCCAACCTATGCATTCACTCTTCCCGGATCCCTCACAGACCTCACAGTGGTAAAACAACACAAACATCTTGGTTTGGTCATTGACTCAGACTTATCGTTTAGTAGACATGTCGACTATATCTGTAGCAAAGTCAGTAAAGCTGTTGGCTACCTCGTGTCTCACTGCTCCCACCTACCGCTTGAATGCATTCGCCTTTTTTATCATTGCTATATTCTCCCCATTTTTCTCTATTGCTCAACCGCCTGGTCATCCCTACTAAGTAAATCGTTAATGAGTACCCTGGAAGTCCACAATAAGAGGATACTCAAAGTCCTTTTCCGCAAACCATCATACTTTCCTTCTGCCGAGCTGTATGATATGTTTAACACCTTCCCTATCTCTAGTCAAGCGGATCGAAAACTGTGTATTGTTGTTCATTCTATTCGTCTTGACAAAGCCCCGCCACACTTGCGTAAATATAACTGGTTTCTTCCCACTCGTCCTACGCGCAATCCCTGCACTTTACCTAAAGCCCGAACCTCAGCTTATACCAGATCTCCGTTTTTTGCTGCCTATTCTCTCTGGCTGGCCCTGCCTCTATCAGTAAAATCGTCTTGTACGCTAAAGGATTTCAAGGCCAACATGAAGCTCGTGTTCTAATAACTGCTAGTTCTTCATCCACATTTGTTTCTCTTTGCCTCCAGTAACGTGTAATATTTATTTAGGTTTGCTTTGTTTTTGTTTACTGCCATGGCTGGCTACCGCCCCCTCCCTCCATATTGGCCTATATTCTCTGGCCACGGGAAGGTGAAATGAATAAATAAATAAATTATGTACTAACCGACAAAATTTGTATGGAAGTGACCACGTTTCGTCCGGGACTTGAGATTTCTTATGTACTAACGGGGTTTATGTACTAACCGGACTCGTATTAACGGGGGACGGCCTGTATAATTATTATGTGTGTGTGGGAGGGGGGGGGGGGGGGGGGGGGCGGGGAGCTCTGCGCGTGCAATGATTATGTACATAATGTCGGTATGTGTAGGGCTCCCTAAGGTACTAGTAGGGGTTTGAGAGCTCTTATGGACCCTCGAACCCGGATAACCAACGAGTTGTGCTCATCTCAAAACATATTGCCGCCACACTTGCATGCACAGTCATGATGGAATGTACCACTTTTGATTTCTTCCGTTTTTGTCTTTTGGTGCGTTACCGGTATGGCGATACTGAGACCTATTGGTCAGTGGAGTGCCTGTAGCCTCACCAGCACTGCTACTATCTGTGACTGTGGCGACCACCATTCAATGTCTTATCCTCCTCAAACCGTACCCTACTCTCTCTCTCTCAGCTCCCTTTCTATCTGTCTTGTCTTACTCGTTTTTCTTTTTTCAGCTTTCCTGGTGGTTACGTGCTTTTCAAGTAAGTAAATAAAAATAAATAAAAAACCTACCTACATTGTATGAACACACTTACTGGACATAAGATATGTGCCTTGAGCAAGCCACCATTAGTGATACACGCATGGAACAGCAGCAGCAGCATGCACAACAATAACCAAGGCCGTCACAGCCGAGGCCGCCCCGCTTTCTCGGCATTTTTTTAATAGCACACTGCAACAAAAAGATCGCAGCTCAGCTCAAACATACGTGGCAAGTAATGAAGAATCCTTGTCCCCAATCGTGGTTTGTTGCAGTACAACAGAATCAAAAAGTCTTTCATTGCAGTTACATGTATGCACATTGAAATGGCACCAAATGCCTGGAAAAGCTTGCAGTTGGCTTCAATTTTTGAACTTTTTTTCCCAGGGGGAGGGTAATGAAGAATCCTCGTCCCCGATCGTAGCGTCTTCTTGATTTGTTGCAGAATCAAAAAGTCTTCCATTGTAGTTACACTGAAATGGCACCAAAGCCCGGAAATGCTTGCAATTGGCTTGAATTTTTTCTCGGGGGAGACCCCCCCTCCAAAGTCGGTGCGACGGGCCTGATAATGTTACCATCACATCCACTGTGGACAGTACAAAGTTTTACTATTCCCTGGTGGGTGCCAAAAGCCTCATCGACAACCAGGGAATTCACACATGCACATCCGATAGGCAATTGTCATTCAACTCTCGTTCAACAATGAAAAGAAGAAGATGTCCACGCGGTAAGACACGTGACCACACGCACAGAGACCGCGTGCAACCACAATGCAACAATTAAAAGCTATTGAAAAAAAATGATGGCAGCTACAGTCCAAATCGGTCATCGGACAATAAAAGAAGGTAGCGGCGGGGAGTCGTAAAATGCCGGTATTTCACTACTCCCTGGTAGCACAATACAAGGACGACAGGGCAAGAGGTGACGCCTAATGTAACTATCACTACCCGCATGTAACACTAGCGTTACAAAGCTGAGAAGCAAGACAAAAAGCAGCCACAATAACAAACAAACAAAAAATATTATGTCCGGCCAGAAGAGTACAAGCAAGTGGAACAGCCACTCGCATGTCCGTTTGTCCGCTACAGAAAGAAAAGCACGCACTAGCAAACGCACACCAGAACTTAAATAGTGCGAAAAATGCTGATTTAAGAAACGTGCAAGCATCCAACTCTCTGCTGGCCTTTATCAAAAACACAAAAGAAACATTCAAAGCATGACCTATTGAAGCAACCCATCACAGCAGTCGATGGGTAAAGGCAACCATGATGAGAGTACAGACAAGCAAAAACAACATTCTGAATGCTTCGACAAAAACAGGACCGGGTAAAAGGTGCGGCGACACAACGCCTCAGCAGCAGCAGCAACAGCAGTTCAAGGTAGCGCTAATAAAAAGACACACACGTACATGAACGACAAGGACGAGGTGTCGAGAACACGGGTCTAAAAACCTAAACTATCGTTGAAGATAGTGCTAGTAACAAGCATCATGATGCCTGTGTCATAGGATAGCCATAATACAAGAGAACACGGTGCAGCCAGAGAGAGAGAGAGAGAGAGAGAGGCACTGTAGAGGAAGCAACCTGGCCCATCTACTGTTTACACTGCTCGCCATCTCCATCTCCATCACCACCACTACCACCGGACTGGCACTTCACAATCATTTTTCCAATGTTTTCCCCCTGGAGCATTCCAATGAGTGCCTCTGGAGCACGTTCAAAGCCATCCACTGTCGTCTCACGATATTTCATTTTGCCCTGTACAGCATAGCAGAGAAAGTGTGACCAGTTAGTACATACGAGCCTGATACACTGCGATGCAAATTCTTCGTTTCCAGATCAGCTTAGAACAGCTGGCATCTCGACCAAGACCTGTAGACCATAGATGAACATTGTTCATACTTCACTTTACATACTTCATACTTTCTTTACTTTAAATAGTTCATAGGCTAGGACACGTTTGTGCCTTTTGGTATTTGCAAGGGAGAGCGTAAAGAAGAGCCGGGTCCCAGAATGAAACAATCCAATACATGGCTGACAGCTGGTGTGTTCAAATTTTCTATATTTTCGAAACGGGAGCTGCGTTCTTAGTATTGTTCTTGGCCCAGGATCTAAGCAGTCAAGAAAAATCATTCCAACGTTGACAACATCTTTCCTGGTGTTAATTTTGTTCTGGCCTAGACATACAACTCAGACCCACTGGAGTACAAGAGCGTCATGGGCACTAACAAGCAACAACTAAGACCTATCCAAACAGGTCTAGTCCATGCTAAAGTAACACAGAAGGAGACCAGAAAGACGATTGACAAAGTGCTGTTTGACCGCCATCAAACTTAGGATGTCTGCTTGCATTGCCAAGTTCCACCAGCACGAAGAGCGCTAATGCATACTACCGCTCTAACGATGATCTCGGGACAGTGATTGCGCAGGGAGGTGCACATCTTTCATCCCAGCATGAGTTCAACACAGTGCGGGAAACCGAACTGATAATCTATCCTGTACTGTGAACCATACAAGGCCGGGTGGGTGCAAATGAACACTCAGTTCCACGTAAGACTATTGACAGTGTGGGAGACTGGGAAAACAAGCAGGTTACTGCAGCATTGGACTGTGAAGTCCAGGCTACCAGATTAACAGGATACGGTAGTGCAACCGCTACCGACGCCGAACACTGCAGCTTATCGTCGATTTGCACGTTTCCCACCACCGCCAATCACAGTGACCTGCTCACAACCAGTATCAAGTATGGGTGAACAGCAGCAGCAGCACAACGACGCAGGCTCTCAAACAGGCAACGGAAATACAGTATGTACAGTGATGTGGAGTCACCTCCACCATTACACTGCGCTCTTTAGCCGACTAGACCCTCCTACACACAACCATCACCGCAGAGCGCAGTGTAATGGTGGAGGTGACTCAACATTTTCTTCAATGGCCGAGAGCTCAATGAAATCCGGTCGCGCGAGCTTGCGCCTTGCCCCATTTCGCAGCCCAGTGTTCGCAGGTCTAGGGCCGTGCAATGCCCGGCGTGTACTTGAGTGACACGCCTGGATTTCATTGAGCAGCACTGTACTTGAAAGAGGCCAAGCGCTTCCGACAAGGCCCGTAAACCGGGTGGCTGGACGTACCTCTCGAACAAGGGCGCCAAGCGCTTCCATGCACTCCATCCACTGGTCCTTCCAGCGGTGCACCAGAAACCCCTCCATCCTAATCTGCTTGCTTATCAGTAGTCCCTGAAGTCGCGGACCTGACGCAAACACAAGACCACACAAGCACCGGGAAAAGAACATGTTATTAAGTTCACAACAGAAGGCTGATACTCTAAAAAGCAGACATACACTACACAAAAGAAAGATCCTGGTTGCACTGAACGAGAGGAAGAAGCACTAACACAAACCAACATGGCGGAGGGATCCAGAAGTAAAATCAAATTATACTTCTTTCCCATGCCTTTAAGTACAGTGAGAACGGTGAATCCCGACAGTACAGGGGTTATAGAGTGAAGTAGAAAAGTGATCCTCGTCCCCATCGGTATCATTTGATGTGTTCAAACATGCTGCAGGCAAAGCATTTGCTTACGCTTCCCACTACTATCCCATGCTTCATTTCTGTATTACCGTAAAGTACCGTTGATCCGCCACCCACGCTATGTCGCTTCCCAGCTGGGTTTTCGGCAGGGGGCAGGAATTAGATCAAGGCTGTCAAGTGCAGTACGATGTACAACAACGTAGAAATTCAGACTCGATGTGCTGGATTGTGCACATTTTCATCCTGGACTGGCAAGTATTGTGTACAGCAGTGCATGCGTCGGTTCAACATCGTATTTTGTTGTATACGCCGAAGTCGCTTCACAGGTAGAAAATCGACAGGGGGCGGGAATTAGAGAGGGGGCGGATCAACGGTACTTTACGGTACATGTATATGGCTAATGGCTTGTAGGCTGTTGGCAGGCAGGCACAGTGGGATGATCATGTAAGACCATGATCGAGAAGCAGAGGGTGCCAGCTTCAAGTCCTGTTCGGGAGCGGAAGGATTTTTCCAATCGTGCTCCGCCTGACAAAAGGGAAACATGGATGTAGCCAATGGGATTATGGTCTTTGACCTCTTTGTGGTGGAACTCTTTCTTGATCCTTAAGGCTGGTGGCATTCCTACTGATGTGGAAAACACAGTCTGACTGGGTCATGCGAAACCGTGCCATTCTTTTGTTTCACTATCGTAGGCTTTCGGTGGAAGTGCGCAAACTAGACTGAGAATATATGATGAATGGAGTGTCGCACCTTTCCTCGGACCAACACCATTGGGCCCAACACCCAGAAGACTACATAAGAAGTGACATTTTGATTTCAGGCCATACATCCCCTGCAGCAACTTCTGGGAATGCATTTGAATCACACAGTATGTTCATAGATGCTACTGCATGGCTGGCAGAATCCAGTTCTATGATAATACATGATTGCAGTGGATGATGGCTTGGTAACCTTACCAATAGACTGTCCAGTGTTGTTGTATTGCGAAATGCACCCACACACTGACACACGGCCAAACTGATTCATGTGACTCATCACGGTGTCAGAGAATGAGCCACCAACCTGCACGACCAGAGTGCACGTACACACACACACACATGCGCGCGTACATACACGTCAGGAGAACTGCTCCTCACAGACGGGCATTCCTCTTGGGACAAGCTGTTGCTCACCACACGCACCGTTAAAACAGACCTACCAGCGGTGTTTACATGGAATGTTTCATCCCACGGTGAAAACATGACACGATCATGACAATTTTCGTACGGGGATGAGTTCACTATCTGCTGACTATGTCCACAACTTTCAGGCCGGGATGAATCCGTCACATGAGAGTTGGTGTCGGGTCAACTTGATTTTGACTAAGTGCACTTTCGGCCCGGGATGAATCCGTCATATGAGAGTTGGTATGGGGTCAACTTGCTTTTGAGTTTACGTGATCAAACATAGACAATTGAATGCACGTTTGGCTCGAAGTCCGGCCACGCAAATTAGAGTAAATCAACATGACCAACTCTGAACAGGCTACTGGTTAGACTAGGCCTTATCACTACCTGCAACTCTTTCCAGGTGATAACACCTTCACCTCCATCCCAGCACTGCAAGAAACAATAGACAACTTACATTGTCAAAATAGATGTCGATGCCGTTGGGGCATAGACTGCACAGCACATCCTCCAACGAGCCCATAGTCTTGTAATTGACAGCTTCATCAAAGCCCAGCTCGCGTAGATACTCCACTTTCTCGTCCGTACCTGAGGATCATAAAAACGATACACGTAAAACAATAGTTCAGCATTTAATATACGGGTGATTTCTGATGCCCAGCCAAACTACACAGAATAGATGTACAGAAGCACGCAGTCATCATTAGAGTTGTTAATTCTCTTGAATGGTTTTAGCAGGACTGAGGGTGACATTGTTGAAAGATGGAACATTTGCAGCGAAACACAAAGAAACCTCCACATCTTGCTATTTATTCAAGCTAACCAAGTTGATTCCCAGCCAGTGACTAAAGAAAATCACATAACTGTGAAAACTTGAAGGAAAAAGAAGAAAAAAATGTCACGGTTCGCGTGAGACTCGGCTGAAAGCCGGGCTTTCCGCATCTGTAGGAACGCCACCACCCTTCAAGGATCAAGGCGCAGATACAGCTCCTAAAGCGGTGGGAGGTGAGTAGATCAGCTCACCAGCAAGTGGTCAAAGACCGAAAATCCCATTCACTGCATCCATGTTTTCCTCGTGCCAGGCCACGAGTTCCCAATTAACTGTGGGTCGCAGCACGGCTGGAAAAAAATCCTTCCGCTTCCAAGCAGGACTTGAAGGAAAGGCCTGTTACAAACCAAACTGCCTTGATGTAAAGTTTCTAAAGACAAAGCAAATAATCTTGACAGCTATAATTTAAATTTTAAAACGCATTTACAGAATCTGCATTTCCCTAACTACATTGTACGCCACTGACCAGCAAAGCCTACTACACGGCATCCTTGGGACTTGGCTAATTGGCCGACCACAGCACCGACAGCGCCTGCAGCTGCGTTCACTACCACCGTCTCGCCAGACTTTACCGGCTTGCAGATCTCATTCAGGCCAAAATAGGCAGTAGCCCTGAACAACAACAACAACAACATTTATTATTACAAAATAGTTGAAAATACACGAAAAAATACTCCATAAAATGAACAGATGGGGAAATAGACGAGGCATAGATTGTTTGTACACATTCCTGGACGAGAAGAGAGGAGTATGGTCTCAGACAGATGTGGATTTGGTCGCATCGCAACTCACCCTGGCATTCCTAGTACACCGAGTGAGAGCGTGGACGGATGGCCTTCGGGTATGTAGTTGACTTTCTGCAGCGGCCATGGCCGAGGATCGTCGGGGTTCTTGACCACATACTGATCCCTCCAGCCACTGTAGTACAGAACCAGGTCGCCGACGACGTAGTTAGGGTGTCGCGATTCCACAACCCTGCAGCAAGCACAAGCAAACGCTATTATGGGAGCAGCTACATGACACGTTGGAGAGAGTGTTACTACATGTAGTTTGACAAGGACCAACTGATTGCAGAATAAAGCAAACGCGGTTCAGTTCAATAGCCGAATTGAGAGAGTAAGAGAAGAAAAACAACTACTGTAGTTACAAATCCAGTAATTTGAGGACGGTAAAGGGTTAAAGAATCATCCACTGGTCACAGAACTACTTCAAACAAAGAAGCAAGTGCCACATACATTAAGAAAGGTAAAACGGAACAACACCACTATTTTGTAATCACTCAGGTGAGTGACTGTGTGTTTAACTCAACTTGCTTCAGTATTTCCAACGGCCCTCAAACACCCAGCACAAACTGATAGAATACTAGTAGGCAACGAGTATCCCGAAAGTACAAAGCCGTCAACACTGAATCGAGGCTGACAAAGGTGGCACTACTTATGTGACTTATATCATACTTGGAGAGTGTCTGGCCCATCATGACATCGCCTTCCTTCATGTTACGACTATACGACCTGTATACACGCACGCACACACACACACACACACACACACACACACACACACACACACACACACACACACAAGCAATCAGTTTTCCAAGAACCATGTCAAGCCTTCCGTACGAAAGACAAATTCCTGCAGCCACCATACCAGCACAGTATATCGGCCGTATTACACACCGGGTACTCAACTCTCTCTCTCTCTCTCTCTCTCTCTCTCTCTCTCTCTCTCTCTCTCTCTCTCTCTCTCTCTCTCTCTCTCTCTCTCTCTCTGTCTGTCTGTCTGTCTGTCTGTCTGTCTGTCTGTCTGTCTCTCCAGCTGTTGGCACCATGGTCACTGTGTTGAGAGTACATGTGTGTAGCAAACTAGTACTAACCTCATGTAGGGATCCACAGATAGCCAAACAGTTTCACATAGGACGTCTGTACAGAGAGGTAAGCATGCATTCACACCCACACCCACACACACACACCCACACCCACACCCACACACATGCACAGACACCCACACACACACACACACGCACACCCACCCACACCACACACACATGCACGCGCACACACACGCACGCACGCACACGCACACACACACACACGCACACACACCACACACACACACACACAATGTACATACCAGAGGCCAATAAAATACGGAATCAGCCTGAAACTGCAGCCAAAATGCGCATATGCCATACTGAACGAAATTCGTGGGCAATGTACCCAATGATGATTCTGTACCATAACGACGCGCATAAAAGCGCATGTGCCTATATCCAGGTATAATAAGCACACACTCGCATATAAATAGGCGAAGCGGAGACAAGATCTTCATTACAGCAATAAGGAAAATTAGCTTGGCACACATAAGCACATGGGCGTATAAGTGAACCCAACACAGCGACACACTGACGCCACTATGATACCATCTTCACAGGGTGTAACGTGAAATTTCCACATTCCATACTGGTGACGCAATTACAAGCACATGCGCATATGTGAGACCAATCAATCAGCAACAAAATTACAAATATTTATATATTAATATGGCAAAAAAATCGGGCACATAAGCGCATGGGCTTAAATGTGGGTCATTACGGCATTTCACTCGTCAGAACTAGTATTTGCGGGCACCTGTTGGAGATACACTAATACATTCGCTGAATGCACCGTTTTCTTCAATTTTTGGCTAAGCTGATAGCGTAAAAGCTCGTAATAAGACCCCGTACGGACATATTAGTGAATTTGGGCGGTGGGCGTTAATCTGGGCTTGGGCGTTATTTCGGATACGTGAAATCAGACTAATTTTCACATCAACGTATTCATCGACCACCATGGAGTGTGGATAACTATTAGCGTATCATTCATGCAGGTGGAGCTGTGCATGCACTGCACTGTGTACTGGACTTGTTTTTCGCCCCACACAGAGGCGGGCTAGAACACGGAACGAGAGGGTTGTACACGAGTAGAGGATGTTATACCGGGTAGGCACTTATACGAGTGTTTAAAGTAACACGCTCAGTTCCACTCTAGGCACCCGCCTTCAGTGCGTGGCGCCGGCGGCAAGCATTCCGTGCCCACTTTGAGAGTTTCGTGATCAGCTGATCTGCAGAAGTCCGGGTGTGTGCACTATTTTTTAACTTTAGTATGCACAGAAACAATTAAGTTGGTGAAAGGGCTTGCCATCGGCTGAAAAGAAAATGATGTGTTCTGTCTTGTCTGGCTTACATGTAGTCGGTAAATTTAAGGGGAACAATCCGCAATAGATGTTCCGTTACTGTAGACAACATGGACAGGATTTTTGAAACACAATTTGCAGAACGCGAAGGAGTTACTTTTTTTTAAAGAATTTCTTTTCACAGCCATCTGCTGGAAGCTATGAAGAATGAAAACTGTTCACCAAAAATGTGTGAGCAATGACGAAACTTTTAAACGGAAAGGAGCTAACCTCCATCCTCCAGCGGTGCCAATGTTTCCTCTTGCAGAGCGAAGTCAGACACCTGAGGCATGCCATCAAAGCGCCTTGCCATGACAATCTTGCTGCTTTTCGTCGTCATCTTGTGTTGAGGGTGTCTGACCACTATTGTGTACCTAAATAATTCTAGTAATTACGTTCTTGGACAATAAGCTAGCTTCACCCTAGGATAAAATCTACAACTGCCTTGACAAAGTATGATATGCTCCACAAATTTCATAGTGACACCGAGCTATGTAGAGTACGATTGGGATGGAATGCTCAAGTTGTCCTGAAGATGTTTGGAGGTTGTCAAATAAGTCGAACTCGGACAGAAATCATGCACTTTTTGCACGCGCACAACATAATTCAACAGCAAACAGCTAGCTTGCCATGCATGCCAGTGCCACTCTTGCATGCACATGATGCAGGTTTGCAGCATGCTGGATGCACAGGACGCACGCGCGTAGATCCACGCACACAGGATCTAGGATTGCGCGCGCGCTTTCAAATCGAATTCGGGCAACCGAATTGCGCGAAAGATAGGAAGAGTTTGCCCTACAACTACTTACTTTACAAAACATCGGGATTTATCAGGCATACCCAAGTTTTTACTCTGTTACGTAAGGCTGAAGTCATGATGTCATTGATATTCAATCATTACGTCAAAATAATATCAGGAACAAGCATGCACACGACACGTGTACACCGTCACACGTGCATAAAAAAAGAAAATTTAATAGTTTACTTTTTTTGTCTTTACCGCATACTCAGTAAACAAAATAGATGGCCTTTTCAAAGTAAGTTTGTTTTGATTCTTGTCTCCAGGCCAAGCCAGTCGAGTTAGCCATAGGTTCATCCCAGAAGTATGGCTGTTCCTCAAGGAGCTCAGGATGCTGTGCTTCAGGCAAGTCAACCCATGCCAGAGGGTTCTGTGACGGTCGAAGGTTATGACTTCAACAAAGGAGTAGATTACCATGCTCTGTTGCAGTCGTTCAAGCGAACAGGCTTCCAAGCCACTAACTTCGGCAAAGCTGTAGAAGAAGTGCAGAGGATGCTGGAGAAACGAGCAGAACCTATTGCGGAACCAGAGCCAGATGCAGATGATGTTGCTGGTGAACTAGACGCAGCGGCGGAGGCAATTCGAGCTGAGCACAAACCCAAGACGAACTGCACAGTGTTCCTAGGGTTTACGAGCAACATGATTTCATCCGGTGTTCGAGATACTCTACGCTACCTAGTACAGCACAAGCTTGTGGACGTAGTGGTAACTACAGCTGGCGGGATAGAGGAAGACTTTATACAGTGTCTTGCACCCACTTATTTGGGTGACTTTCATCTCAGGGGTGCAGAGCTTCGTGACAAGGGAATTAATCGCATTGGAAACCTGCTTGTTCCCAATTCTAATTACTGCCTGTTTGAAGACTGGATTATGCCAATTTTAGATCAGATGGTGGTGGAGCAGACAAGTAATGGTACATTATGGACACCGTCGAAAGTAATTGCACGCCTTGGAAAGGAAATAAACAACCCAGACTCAGTGTACTACTGGGCATGGAAGAACGACATCCCTGTCTATTCGCCAGCGTTGACAGATGGCTCCATTGGCGACATGATCTATTTTCACTCGTTCAAGAAGCCCGGACTGGTGCTAGACATCGTGCAGGACATCCGCTCACTCAACAGCACGGCGGTGCACGCTAAGAATACGGGTATGGTCATCCTCGGCGGCGGGCTCATCAAGCATCACATCTGCAACGCCAACCTGATGCGCAATGGCGCCGACTTTGCCGTCTTCATCAACACTGCTCAGGAGTTTGATGGTTCTGACTCGGGCGCGCGTCCCGACGAGGCCGTGTCCTGGGGCAAGATCAAGAAACTCGCGACGCCCGTGAAAGTGTACGGGGAAGCTAGCATACTCTTCCCGCTGCTCGTAGCCGAGACCTTTGCCCGCGTTGATGTCAGCAAACCGTCCAGTTAGTTAGTAGTAACCTGTGGCCAGTGGTAACATGTATCGTGTGTCTACCTGTCTTATGCAGGCATACTCAACGGACCTTCTCACACCTTAACTCGTGAAAAACGAACAGTCACTTTTCTCAAAAAATTCTCCGCAAGTCATGACATACATATCCTCCATCTCATTGGTTGAAACGCTTATGAAACCAACCCATGATACGTGTTATTTGATGTCAGTGTTCGTCCCATGATAAGTGTTATTTTGATGTCAGTGTTCGTGTTGTTCTTGTTGATGTGTGTTCTCCTCAATTGGGTTTAGATAGTCATGAAGCCCAGAACAAGATGGTATTTTTAATATGTACATTTTGGTCCTTTTGATTGTACAGTTTGAACTGAAAGTGCCTCGTATCATATTATTTCAATGTGATGTTGAATTGGATGTATGGTTCTCCTTGAGGCCAGTGGTTTCCTTGATGGCTGTGTTCAGACTTGTAGTTCGGATGAGTGAAGCTTGTAGCTGATGCACCACTGTGTAATACCATATGTACCGAATGCCTGCCTAGTTCAAACCTGCCATTCGCTGTCTACTCTTGTGGGAATGCGGTGCTACTTCCCGGCCGGGAAATGCTAGCACACATTGCCTGCATTGCTTCAAGAGTCCAGAATGCAGCTTTCACCACTGCTTTGCAGTAAAACAAAAATTAACATGGACAGTGCTAAAATGGGGGTAGTAAGTTTCGCCACATCGCAACAAACATAATTATTCTAGATCAGGTGAACCATATGCAAATAAAAGGTTTCAGTTCATGAGCCTAAGAACTATTATTCTGCCTAAATGACATAAAATTGTACTGTAACACAATGGACCTGCCATTACAACTAATTACAGAACTTCCTATAAAGTAATAACTGAAAATTCTGGATTAAAATCTTGGATTGTACGAAGTACAGAACTGGAATTTTTGGTTAACTAAAATAGCAAACAAGTCCTTGAACTTGTGAAATTGGTAACCAGGCACGACAGATCTGACACACACGAACGGAGAAAACCCAAAGAACTGTTGTTTGCACAGTTACGCCGAGTCCTGCGGAAGGCTATATCCCACTTGTCGGCGCAGCTCGTCCAGTATGCTCATGAAGAGCAGGGAATGCTCGTGGGACATGATGCTGCTCTCCTTACGGCCGGCTTCCACACACTGTCGCACCTGAACACGAGTGAAGAGTCACACACCAATATTTCAATATGTTTCTTGAGGAAAAACCCTACACACACCATCCTCAATTCAAGTGGTCTCTTCGCTGCAAATCACAATATCTCCATCAAATTTTCGGTCAGGAGCCACCATCCTGATGATGGCTCCTGGCCAAAAATTTGATGGAGATATTGTGATTTGCAGCGAAGAGACCACTTGGAGTGAAGATGGTGTGTGTAGGGTTTTTCATGTAATGAAGTGGCTGCAGTGGAGCTTGCGCACATTAAGAATGTTTCTTGAGGAATATCAATAAAGTGTGAACGGTACCATTCGTATAAATATTTGCCATGTCAATTACAATATCCTATTCAGTATCACCTTCGACGCCGAGCCTTTAGTAGGCAAAACAGCTGTCATAAGGAATATTATCAGTAACAATACTTGAAGTACCCGTAACCCCTTCGTTGTTTGTAATTATTGGTGTGTGTAATGGCTACCGAGGGTAGCCATTTCGGCTGAGAGTGCATGGAGGAGAAGAGATTTTTGAAGTTTCTTGAGGAATCTTGCTAGAAATCGAGGGTGCCAGGTTAAAGGTTTCCGGACTAAAGAGGTGTGATTGTACCTATGACTTTAACCTGTGACTGATGTTACCACAAACCTACACGAGCGGACTACTACATGTTTAAACTTTACAGGTCATATTGCACTGTGTGTGTCACTGTGTGTGTGTGTGTGTGTGTGTGTGTGTGTGTGTGTGTGTGTGTGTGTGTGTGTGTGTGTGTGTGCGTACGTACGCGCGCAGTTGTGCTTCACATGAGCCGGGTGAGCACTGGACGAACAGCAGAGTTGCTGTCTGCCGAGAAAGCCTCGCCAATTTGCCAAGCAAGATGATGATTGTTTCAATGTGGCTTTACTACAGTAAATACGAAATTTAGCAATGCATTCAGCAGCTTCAGCTTACCTCTTCGGCCTCGTAGCGCAGTCCACAGCTGTTAAAGAAGTTGAACGGGTCACTGGTTGCTGGAAGAGGGAAAGACTTCTTGCTGCCGTCACTGTGTTCAACTTCTGTGGCACACCAGAACGGCTTGGGCAGCTTCAACTGACCTGAATAGCAAGTGAGCACACCAATAAGCAACAGTACACAACAACGCAGTGTTTCACACAGGCAAAATGCACTGATTTTCAATGGCCAAAGCCCACCCAATGGCCAAAGCCCACGGAAAAGCCAGAGGATACTGTAAATTATAAATATACAAAATTTCAAAAAGAGAGGATCATAAGCTTACAAGTTATCCGTTTTGTCCAACACTAACGATTATAAGCAGGATAATGTTGAGTGAAAACGTGCAACAATTAGCACAAAACTGACTGATGTGATACTGACATTCAACGACCTGATGCTTAGCTGCATCACGTCTGGAATGCGCAAACCAACAGCCTTCCAACTTGGAAGGTTCTAAGTTATGAAGTAACATTAGAAAAGGGGAAGGTGAGTCTCCATCTGAGTTAAATACAAAATTTCGGCAGCCATTTAATTTCAGCTATAAGCACCGACCCAAAACACCGAAAATAAAACGCTGATGAAAATGTTCACATCGGCTTTGGTGATGTAATGTAAAGTCCGCTGCAAACGCCCACCCCATTTTTGCAAGATCTGCTAGCCTGTACACACTGACCCCATTCACTGTCACCCCACCTGTACGAAAGTACATCTCACACCGTAGCGTGAAGAGGGCTTTGCTACGGTAAACTATGTCCACTTTCCTGGTTTCAAAATCTCTTTGGGCACTAGCTACGAGCTAACTCGTAGTGATTTGATGATGATGGTTGTTTTATTTCGCAAATCCAAACAGGCGTTTCTTCCGAATAACAAGGTAGCGAAGAACGGAGTATTGCAGGAACCTTAGTGCACTTCTGATGGTGTTTCAAGCTATCATTTCCAAATCACGCATCGGTTTTTTTTTTCGAGCACTTCAGAGTTTTCAACAAGTTAGCAGCGGCTTTGTAGGTGTGGCTTCTGTGTTCGACTTGCAACTGCAATATTGCGACTGGTCAAGTCGTTGAATGACGCTTCGTCAGAACAATCCCTGTTCCGAATTCAAATAAAAACGTACTTACCTACCGTTCTGAAACCGCGACATCGTGGTACAGTACTGCAGAAATTTCATGATTTGCAAACCAGATGGATTCTCCACATGGACAACGAAGTAATAACAAAGACAACTCATTTATCGAATGAAAGGAAATCTCGACAGGAGTTTATCTTTGCAGCAAGATAATGACAGTCGCTTTTGCAGAGACCCTCGGTAAGACATAGGCAGTTTGTAGGCATTACAGTTGTTCTCGTATGCATTCGACCTTCATGCCAGTTGTTTACAACTACATTGTACTGAAAAAGACGGAAATAGTATGGACCTGCTGGGGTGGGCGTTGGCTGCGAAGTGGGCGTTTGCAGCGGACTTTACGGTACTAGCATTAACCCGCGCCGAAAATAAATCGCTGCTGAAAAAATCCACGTTTGATTTTAGTCTCTAGCAATGCTGGATGATAAAACTGCTTTGGTATTATAAAATAAATTCCATGGCTAGCGTGAGAGTCAGTCAGACTGAATTTTCCGAACCCGTAGGAGCATCACCATCCTCAATTATCAAGGCACAGATGCACATCCTAACATTTGCATACATTAAAAAAAGGCATCGGCTAGACGCTAAGACCGGAACTCAGAACAACTCATTTGCTTTATTGTAAAGAAAAAAGGGCCAAGAAACTACAAGTTACGCTATAATATCCACTAACACCACCAGTTACTAAACAATCAGCTCATGCGATAACATTGCACGACACTGACCGACGGTACTGACGTTCTACAACGAACTGGCTAACAGTGCTAGAGCTGTTAGCCAGTTAAACTGGTGGTGTTAGTGGACATTATAACGTAACTTGTAGTTTCTTGGCCCTTTTATCTTTACTATAAATTTATCCTTGGCTCTCCATCCGAGTCCAAACTAATTTGCTGTTCAGTCATCAACCAAAACCTGGTTTATATGGAATTTAAAAAGCCTGGTTGAAAGACACTCTCACGCAGAAAAAAATCAGAGAATAGTCTTACCCTTCGAACCACAGATGAACGCTTCGCAGGGCAAATCTGCATTGCAGCTAACCATAAACGTGGCTGTGCGTCCACCGCTAAACGACAGGGTGAAACCGACCGTATGATCCACACCACTGTCAAACAAGTGGCCGGCTGCAGCAATCTGAACAGTCACATTGCACAGACAAAATTAAATATACAGACAGACATGGACAGATACATAAAAAACATACAAGAATACAAGCACACCAAGCTAAAAAATAAAAGAGAGAAAGAAAATGGGGAGTAGCACCGTATTAAAAAAGTAACAACATGTCGACTTTGTGTGCCATCCTCCTGATTGCGATTTGAAAAAGGAAAAAAAAAAAGGTTAGCAGAGGATGGTTTCGATCCATCGACCTCTGGGTTATGGGCCCAGCACGCTTCCGCTGCGCCACTCTGCTTCATATGATGATAAACGTAGGTGATGTGTATTTATCAAAAATAACAGGGAGAGAAAAGAAGACAAAAAAAAGAAAGTAGGGCACACTCGGAGTTGAACCAAGGACCTCTCGATCTGCAGTCGAATGCTCTACCACTGAGCTATATGCCCTTCTTGGAAAAAGAAAGTCACCAACAATTCATGTAGGTAGAGGGGAGGAGGTGTTGCCATTTTCAAAGTGGCATTTAGAACATTGTACACATGCAAGCCTTGCTTGATAGTTATACAATAACATGTACACATATGACCATGACAGCATGCCACAAGGCGGAAGACTGTTTTCCATACAGTGTGTCCTCCATCTTGTGACATGCTGTCATGGTCATACATGCATGACATTGTACATGTGGAGCAACATATTCAACATTCACAAAATGCATCTGACATTAATCGTACAGCATCTTTCACACTCTTTCAAGTGGTAGCATTTAGCTTCATTCCAGTGAGCACATCAACTAACAAGTCGACTTTCAAGAAGACCGAAGTCACTCCCAGTTTTCGGAAACAAACCTTACCTTCTCCGGCTTGGCATCGTTGAAGGCGGTCAATGCAACATTCATCACATAGATTCCTAGATCAAGGAGGGCTCCACCCGCCAATTCTTTGCGTACCAATCTTTCGATTGGTGCCCCCTCAGGCATACTGAAGCCAAATGTTGCATTGACGCATAGAGGCTCACCAATGGCACCAGCACTGATTGCCTCTCGAATGTAGCAATAAGATGGCAAGAACCGACTCCAGAGTGCCTGGAGAGAGAGAGAAAGAAAGAGAGAGAGAGAGAGAGAGAGAGAGAGAGAGAGAGAGAGAGAGAGAGAGAGAGAGAGAGAGAGAGAGAAGAGAGAGAGAGAGAATACACGCAGTAAAAGCTGTGAGCATACACTGCATAGCAAATTGGTATAATAGCAGATACATAGACGATTTAGTAGTAGGAAAACATGAATCCCAAAACTCAGACTTACTTCCATAAGGAAGACATTGTTCTGCTTGGCGCAAGCAATCATTTCCTTTAGCTCCCTGGAGTTGACTGTAATTGGCTTTTCCGAGAGCACAGCCTTCCCAGCACCCATCGCAATTCTGGCTGCAAAGACAGACAGACAGACAGACAGATAGACAGACACACACACACACAATTATCCATGCGCAATGCATAGCGTACAATAAATAGAGGGCATACGTATCGCCCAATGGAGCGAGTGAAGCAAAAGGAGTTACGGACAAGAAATAAAATACAAAAATGTCAACTTTTCTGAGCACCCTCACCCTCACTCATGATATGCTTTGACTTGCAGCTTTGTTCCCCCTTTTCAAACTTCTGCTAAAGCAGCAGAGACACATGACAGGGCAAGTCTAAAGCCTAAGGCAGGAGCAAAGGTACATGTGATATCTGCTCGCCCAGGGTTCTTGTCTGGTGCTTTCCTGCAGGCCCAAACCAAGGTGAGATTTCTTGAGGCTGACTTGGAGGGGACAGATCGGGTATGCACTGTGCACGGCACACCAACTACATGTACACAGCCGGATAACACAGGGTGATTACACCTGCTTGTCAGTGTATGTTCTCTCTGTCATTGGTTCATATCAAGTGCCAGACTAAATATTGATCATTGAAGACTTCTGATGGTCATGGGCTTCAAGCGTGGCAAAGGACATGTTCTGCTTTATGTTCACACAAGAAAATTACATGTGGTCATGCGCATGTTCCTGTTCCAAATGTGAATTTTATGAAGGCCTGCTGCCAAATTAGGAAGATATGCACCAGTTCTGTGCGGATTGCTTTGCGTGCTTCAAAAATCTGACAATAGAGAGCCTATACTCTCATTCGTTGGTCGTGCAGATAGTCATTGCAAAAGAAATCATGTGTACTAAGTATACGTGTAAGTACTACTCAGTATCTGATCTTTACCATGCTCCAAGTGAAGCGGGTGGACTGTTCCAATGTACACAGCTTGAACACGTTCACAGCTAGCAATTTCCAAGTAGGATCCCAGGGCGTTCTCCACCGGAATACCAAACCTGCGACAGAAGTCCTCTGACTTTGACAGGCTGCTGGAGGCCACCGCCACTACTTCATGCAAGCATTGGCCATCGTCCGATTTGATAGTTTTCAGTGCAGTGACGAAATCCTGCGAGATCTTGCCAGCTCCCACTATTCCCCATTGGAAAGGCATTATGATACAAGGAGCTCCGGACGGGATTAGTAGAAATAACTCATACAGTACAGTAGTAGGAAGTGCTGGATCCAATTAGATGCAGTCCAGTCGTGCAGAAATACTTCTGTCACTCTTTATTTTGGCCAAATAACAATAAAAATTCAAAAAGATACGAGGATAAGTGACGTCATGACGTTCTATCGTTGACATTATCATGACATCATTGACATGCACCAATATTGCAATATGCAATAATAATTATGCAATACTGTACTAGCCTGAGTATGCAATATTCATGCATTTAACAGTTAATATGCATACTCAGTAGTGCACTAATAAATAGTAAATACAAACATCAATACTACGTCATTTCCAAGGGGTCATAAGAATCATACCGGTAACCCGGGCCCCATGAATTCTTGACCATGCAAGATGGCAAGACTCAGACCAGGGAGTAGTACAATACCAGGTATTGTGTATATACAGAACGTCAGAAGCCTTGCTTGGAAGTTCTACATGTTTTTCGATTTTGACAGCATGTTACAAGGCGCCAATCGGGTTATGGTTGTAGTCAGGAGCACTATGCGTCCTCGACTTAAACATGCTGTCAAAATCGAAAAACATGTGTGACCAGGTATTGTACTACTCCCTGGTTCAGACCCCCCCCCCCCTGGGTGTTGCCCTTGGTCATGGGTATGGTCAACGCTGACTTTCCAGAGGGGCTCAGGGGCATCTTCTCTGTGACTAGTCGACTGTGGGGCAGCTGAAAGCAAAAGTCTACTGCAGGAAGCCACAGGGGGCCTCTGGCAGGGAATTCACCCTTTTGAAAAATTACCGTGGCCTAGCACTCATCAGTGGGCTCACTGATAATACGGGGCCATCAAGTTCCTGGCCATATACAGAGTTGCTCAATGAAATCCAGTCACGTCACTCAAGTGCGGCGCCGAGCGTTGCGCAGCCCTGCACCTGCGAACACCGGGCTGCGAAATGATGCAAGGCGCAAACTTGAGTGACGCGACTGGATCATCACTGACGGTTCATTGAGCAGCATCACTATAGTTCGACACCACATGCAGCACTCAGCACGGGACATAGACCCAGTTGACGGATCAGACCCTGATGGGCTAGAAACATACACATCAATCAAGTATTCACTAGTATTCACTAGTATTCACTAGTATTCACTAGTATTCACTAGTATTCACTAGTATTCACTAGTATAGTATCTAATGTCAGGATGACCTACAATGTAGATGATGGGATAACAATAGTCAAGCAAATCCATACAGTGAGACACGGTGCGTTGTCCCGGTGATCTAATCAGAACCGTCTGATCACTGAGTTATCCAGATGCAGGCATTACCCCCGGCGGAGGATGGTACGGGCCGATTAAAAAGTAAAAACAGTAAGCTGTCCGTTCCCAAAGGAAACTCACGACAGCCGCTAACACCCGGTAAACCCAGTGGCAGATGCAGCGCCTATGTACATGTACATGTATAAGAGTGGTATGGAAGTCTGGAAAGAGTTGCCTCCGATTTTGGGCACTTGAAGCCATAAATAGTCGACGAGAGCAACCTAATGTAGCAAGGTACCGAAGGCCCGACTAGACTGGTATCTAATCAGTTCAATGATTACTTGATTAGTCCCTGAATCATTCATACTATGGAGTTTTCCACTGAAACGTTTGATGTTGTGTGAACAAGCCATGATGTGGCAATGTCACCATACAAAACGTTATAAATAATACAATGTCATGTTCACCTCGACCAGGATTTTCACCAGGTGTGCCCACAATCCGGCACATGAGCTCCAGCTCCAATATGACTAGAAAGAAAAAGTAGGTTCCAATGGTCTGACTGCAGAAGGCGGGCTGCGTGTTTCTGCTTACCATGAGTCGTGGCAAAAAGCTGTGACATCATCATTACATCACCGTGACATTTGCTGTCTGACGTACTCCTTGATGTGTATGTATTGCCATTCGTCATACATCCTACAGCTTCCCTGGTCATACTGGTCACAGCTGATGAAGGGCTGGTTGTCTTCGCGTGCTGGTATTGTCGGCGGATCAAATCGTTTTCCGAGCATGGGAAAGGTATTGTAGTAATACCAGCGCTGTAGAATGACTTTCCGCCCGGACTCGACCATGGAGGCGTTGTGCACAGACGTGCTGTCACACATTCCATCTGCCGACATGCTGTTCCAGATGAGGCCGCGTGCACGCCGGGGCTCGATCTTCACGTCCAGCTCCGGGAATATGGTGTGCCCGCCGCTGGGAACGTCATTCAGGTAGACGAGAACGGTGGCGACGCGATCGCGCTTATCCCTCGACTCCACCCTGCAGTCGGTGTGTGTTTTGTAACCCACTCCAGTGCTGTATGACGTTATCTGATACTTACCGCCGTGTGATGCCGGCATGCCCGTAGCCTCTTCGATACGCTTATCCATGTCGTAGCTAAACTTGCTCTCGCCCGTGTAGAACGCTGTACTCACACTGTACTGTACATACTTGTCCAGTACTCTGGACATGGTCGTATTCAGGCAAGTCGTGCCCTCTGTGAAGTCGCCATCGGCAAGCTTCAGCTTTCGAAGCTGCGTGTGCTCCTTGAGATGTGCCTGCAGAGTCTTCTCTGAATCGAAGCAGAAGATCGGATCTTTCATCCTCTGCCTATGCTGGTCGTGTGCTCCGATCAACCCTGCACACTCGTTGTCCGTGAGCACGTGGTCCAGTGTGTACATTTTTACGTCGGTTCTCCTCTTGGGCCCATCCTCTCGCAGGCGAGTCTTGACCTGCTTCGGATGCAGTCGGCGACCAGCTACTTCCAGTGCTCCGCTCATCCTCAATCCACTGAGCGTGGTTGGTTTCCACTCCTTTTCCCGCTGCAGCTCCGGATGAATGGGTTCCGGATCGCTATTCGTCTCGCCTACCTTGCTGTCATCAATAGCAATGGTGGGATTGGTCTCTGCTTTTGGCGATTTTCCAGCACTGTCGTCGGCCGGCTGAGCCACATCTTCCCCGCTCGGAGGTTCTACTTGCCGAGGTCGTTGCTGGTTCGGGAGTGCACTCCACAAAGCAACGCCGACGAGCACTAGCACCAGCAAGACGGTCCACGTGTGGGACACAGATTGTTTGTCCGGACTACTTTTCTTTCCCGATGCCGAAGCCTTCGTAGGCTTCGAGGCCGCAGCTTGTGCTCGCTTGGTTGGCTTCCCCATGACCGAGTCGACCCGGTCGCAAGGGAATGCAACCCAGGCTCTGTATCAACAAAAAAAAACTATAAATCAATGCCCCAGCTCGCCCTCGCGCGCGTGCGACTTGACCAGTTCAAAGTCAAGTCAACTCGAAGGCGTTGTTGTAGGTCTTGAATCCACTTGATGCACACATGCAGACCATGTACTGCAGTAGATGTAGAACAGACCTCCTATCCTTCACAGCAGCAGTGCTATCACTGCTATGACAACATAGGTTGAGTTGCCAGGCCGGGAGAGGGAGCTCATCTAGGCCCCGGTGTAATATGCCCGAAACTTTGCCGAAAATGCTTTTGGGAAATTCTCGTAAACCTTGCCGAAAATGCTCCCAAACCTTGCCGAAAATGCTCGGAAAATGCTCACTTTTTTGTCATCCTCAGCACACGCCGTCAAAACCAGGGAGTCAGAAAATACTCAATAAGAGACTTGCTCGAGTCTGCAATGGTAAACAATAATATTCATAAACTACTCAACAAGAAGCTAACCCACGGAATGCGGAAGTGACGTTCTTGTTTGGGAAGTTTTTCTTCTCTCAATTTTGATACACAACTGCCAAGTGCTCCGTTTCCCCCAAAATGCTGCATCACGAGCCCAAAGAAGTGCTGGGTTCGCGGATTGTACCGAAAATGCTCAAAAAAAATGCCGGCATATTACACGGGGGCCTTAGCTCATCACGGGATCCCCGGGAGGGAATCGACCGACCGATACCACCGCGGTTGACTGATTCAAAGACAAACTGAAAGTCATACTCACCTAAAAAGTTAGTTGTAGCCAGGGAGTAGTACAATACCGGTATTGTACTACTCCCTGGTTGTTTTTTTTTGTTTTTTTTATTTTTTTATTTTTTTATTGGGAACACAGCCCTACTACAAAGAGACATGTGGAGGCAAACACAAGACAAGAGTCAAGACACAGGGGATGTAGGGACGACGTGCCGATGTACAGGGAGCAACTCGACCGACCAGGGGTCTCGGCGTTAGCGTTGCAACCTGGCATCGAAAAAAGGGGGGGGGGGGTTGCATGGTCAGGTAGCAAAAATAATAATTTGGTGCGAGAAAGGGGCGCTAGTATTGCACCAAATAATATAAATACGTGTAATGACTAAACCAGAAGGGAAAATGAAGAAAGAGAACAATAATCATAACAAGCAAGTAGTAGTAGAGAGGTAAATACTAAATGGGTCTCAAATCTCAATATCATCGTCACAGGTACTGTGTGGACCACAGCCATCTCTTTCGGATTAGATCCTTACATACGTTGACCTTGAAGGTTTGGAGGCGTCTTGAATGAGGCTCGTGAAGCAGGAGGTCCGCAGGCAGGTTGTTCCAGGGTGTGATGGCGAAGAAGGGGAAGGATCGCAGGAGGTAGTCAGGGGCTGTGCGAGGGGGTGTCCACTTCAGCTGAAAGGCATGGTGCGTCTGACGTTTTTGCTGTGTGCACATGCTAGCTACGGCAGGGGGCTTGGTTGGTGGCAGCATGGCCTTTACCTGGGGAGGCCCTGGAATGTAGTGCAACTTGAACAAGTATGACAGGGCTGCCACCATCCGACGAAGCCGCAGATGTGATGTTTCCCTTTGCCCATGCATGGCCCATGGGCCATAGCTGCATGACTTTGTAACAAGAGTTCATAACCCCCTTGAACTCTTGTTTGTAACTGTTGCGGTTGTATTGCCTCCAAGACTGGCAAGAGCCCATGTAATGAATGATAGGAAACGAAAACGCTTCCAATCGTATGAGTCGAGCCAGACCCACCGTATTCCTTTTTTGGTGTGGTAGAAGGTGGAAGCAAATTAAATTATTTTGTTGCTCCGCAATCGGCTCCTTAGACCTTACTTTTGTTTTGTTTGTCGAGCACTGACCAAGGAAGCACGGCTATGGCTGACTCAACCCTAGACCTAGCCCTGATCGAGTCCAATGTGTTGCAGCAGGTAACCAAGGACGCCCGAATTCCAGGATGCATCGATGGGACGGCCTATCCAGGGCTATACTAGGGCGGACCTCGTGTTCGCTCTCCGTAAGCAGGGCAAGGGCCAGGGAGCCAGCGCACCAGCCAGAGGAGCGCCATCTGAAACCGGTATGATACCAATTGTATCAGAACTGTTAGACGTAGTCCGAACACTTTCAAATGAGATTTCGCAACTACGAGATGTGATTGAAACAAGGAAGTCTTCGCAAGAAAACTTCGAAGCCCAATTGTCACGATTGCGGGAAGAGATGGGGGAGCTCAAAAGTCAGCAAGTGCGAGCCCCAGGAGTACCACTCGGTACCAACCGAATACGTACGCTGCCACCCTTAAAACTAGTAGTAGTAAGCGAGGCAGCCTCCAGGGGGCAGAAAGGATAAAGCGGAAAGCCTTCTACCTCGGAAATGTGGATCCTGGGCGTGAGGCTGACTCTATTAGGGAGTGGTGCAAAAAGAAAGCAGTTGATGTCCTCAGTTGCTCAATTTCGGAATCCAAGTACTTTGGTACTGCTTATGCGCACCTTGTTGTTCCAGCTGAGCATACTGACCAGGTTCTCGAAGATGATTTCTGGCCAAGCAAAGTTTCCATCAGGGAATGGAGATTTGCATCTTCCTCACTGAACCCGGCACACGCACATCCGTTCTTTCCTACCGGACACTCCCTTCCCACTCACCAGCATTCTGGACCACCCCAGTTCACACTCCTATCGACAACTAGTGAACTGTCGTTCTGTAGTGAATACGTGTACAGCCTGAGCTTACTTTAGTTGCTGAAGAGTGGCAGCCTGACATTATCTGCCTAACTGAAACCTGGCTCGACCCGAATATTGCACTTAGTATTACGCATTATGACACCTTCCGGAGGGACAGGCCCCTGCAGAGAATAAGTCCAGGACAAGTGCAAGAGGTGATGGTGGTGTCGCTATCCTTGTTCGACAGAATAAGTTTAAGTCTGTTGCCGCGCGTCCCGACCTAGCTTGCGATGGGTGCGAAACCTTTTGGGTTCAACTCCAGCCGTATCCGGCTGCAGCCGAGCCGATCCTCCTCTGCTGCAGTTATCGTCCACCTTCTGCTAAGACAACAGATATAGCAAGGTACTGCCAGACCCTCGAAGACGTACTCATTACTCTTCCTCTTTCATCTTCTCACGTTATCTTGACGGGTGCTTTTAACAGCAAGCACACTTCATGGTGTTCGACAGATTCCACCAACATTGCCGGTGCCGAATTGTACCGCACACTCAGTTCCTTTGGTCTTCACCAACTCGTTAACACATGTGCATACACGTCACCCTCTGGTGTCCAAGCCTGCTTGGATTTGGTGTTTAGTAACTGTGCCAATCTCTCGTCTTGTGTCGAAACTGACTGCCCTCTGGGCGCCTCAGACCATGCCATTGTGTACTGCCAGCTCGACATCCGACTGCCTCAGTCTCCCCGCGAAACAACGTCTCAAGCTCAGGAGCCTAACCCTATGTCTTTCGATCTCAGCGACACGTTACACCTGCTGTGTGGGAGGCGGTCAATGCAGACTTAGACAGTCAGTACCTTGGAACCCTCAGACGTGGACAGTGCACTTAGTAACCTGCACAGTGTCCTGCAGACTGTGCTGTCCAAGTATGTTCCCCTTCATAGCTCCCGCAAACCAAATCGTTCTCCCTCGGCCTCGACCCCAGGGTCCACACGCAAATATCATCCATGGGTTTCCACTGAACTACGCAAGGCTATCAAGTTGAGGCGTGACCTATTCAGCCTCGCCAAGAAATTCCCTACGGACTACACGTGACCTATCAGCATTATAAGGCACAAAGGTGAGACATCTCTCCCGCTCGTGCCACCGCCAGTACATTCGTTCAATCACAACAACACTTACCCCAGGCAGCACTACGCTTCACCAATTTGTCCGCAGCCAGCCACAAAGTAAAACCTGGCATCCCTGATATTGCAAGCCCTGATGGGCTGCTGGTGTCTGACAGCTTGCAAAAAGCAACCATCCTCAACAAGCAGTTTACCTCTGTCGCGGTGCCTGATGACCCACGTTTAGTAATACCCCCTCCCCAATATGACACTCGTCTTACTCGCCAATTCACCCGCGTTCATACCACTACAACAGATGTCTGTAAAGCCGTGCTGCTGCCCCCAGTCAACTGGGAACTAACTTACTTGTGGCCAGGCACAAGAGGGTACATGGATGCGGCTAATGGGGTTTCTCGGCACTTGTGCCAGTGGTTGTGAGACTTACCCACCCACCCCCACCGTTAGGCGCTGCATCTGCCGCTAGGACGGTTTCCGGGTCACAGTGTGAGCGGCCGTCTAGTAGCAATGTCTGATCCGTATACTAGAACTTCATACTTCTCCCAGGTCACGTGGCTCAGAATTGGAGCTTTACGCACCTTTTCAGGACCACTCAGTGATAATTTCCAATTTTCCATCACCCCGGTACTTCGCTTGCTTTTACGAACAGAGTTCTGGAGCTCCAATGTTCAACATCCAAACACTGGTAGCGTAATCGAGGCTTCATACAGTACATGTTCCACCAAAGAAAACATCAGGCAAGTATGTACACAATATTATGTATGTACACTGGATCGGCCCATGATGTAGGTGGGGAATTTCAGAGTCATTCAAGGATGTACACATAATAAGTTAAAAACACAAAACAGAGAAGGCAGTGCGTGCGTGCGTGCATGGTGTGCATGTATACCTTCTTGATAAGAGCGGATGCACTGAAAACAATGGAGGATCGCTTGATAGGCTCATGGGTGGCTGGTGGATCTGACCGACTCAGAGTGAAGTATACCCGGTAGTGCTCGATGATGGCACAATTAGTAGAGTGCAGCGGAGGAGAGACCATCGCTATGGCTCTACCAGCACTGCCGCAGGCCATAGCAAGCAGACGATCCCGTTCGCCGGAGTAACATGCACTCATGGCACCGTGGCTGGTGTTTTCCGATGATGATGCTGCTGTCAATCACACGGGCATTAGGATAACTCTTCAAGTGAGCCTGGTGCGACACCTGCTGGTAAATCAGGGCTATGGAGCCCTTTCCACCCCTGCTGTTGCTGCTGCTGCTGCTGCTGTTGCTGTTGCAGCAGTAGCTGGCGCTGTTGGTGCAGCTGTGGTAGCGGGTGCTGCTGTAGTTGTTGCAAAGGCTGATGAAGTAGTTCCTGGAAGTCCAGCTGCAACAGATTAGGCTGCTCTTGTGTCTGCTGCCAGGGCAGTCCATCATTTAGCGACGACATGGGATCACAGAGGCCAGCGTCAAGAAAACTTGCACTAGCACATAATGCTGACCCCTCATCTAGACTTTGGACTGCAGCAGCTGCTGATGATGCCGGAAACAAGTGTGCTGAGTCGGGCTGTTGTTCACCCTGCACTTGTCCCGGTGCTGTGGGGTTTGCCGGCATATGCCGTACCAACTTGCAGCTAGCGCATACACAGCAGGCGCCATGGCTGGTAGCCTTGATATGGGCACTATAGTAATGTAAAGCCGCAAACTCAGTGGCACGCATGCTCGGCTGTTCCTTCTTCTTATTCGGCTTTTTCCGGTTTGGTTTAAACTGGTAATCCGGATGTTTCTGTGGGGTACAGCAAGAGATAATAAATACAACATCAGCTGCTGTATGGACAGAGCTAATGTTCCCATTTTTGACATGTCCTTCCCAAACTAAACAAACAGAAGACAGGGGCGTCGGAAGGTATTTCAGGGCAGTACGGTCAGCCAATATTCGAGGGACCGCTTCGGGGCCCTCCTATAAAAATTAAAAATTTGTGCATTAAGTCCTGGACAAGACTGAGCCTTCCAAGACACTCTGCACCAGGTGGTCTGGTGGCCAGGGTTGACTGAGGATGCTACCATCTACATGGAGTGTTGCTCTGAGTGCTGGAGATCACGTGCTTACAGCCTGCAGGAGGTAAAATGCCCACTGAGGTCGTTGGTGTCTGCAGTAAAGTAGCATCGGAAATTGCCTTGATTGAAGGGAACTCAGTCACTCAGATTGTGGTTCTCGGTACCCCTATCTCAATACATTGGATTATGCTCTCTCTCTAGTAGCTGCCGTTTTCGATGAACTACGCCACCTTCGGTCTTCCCGAGACTCTAGTTTCCGACAATGACCCTAAACTTATCTCAGGGGATACATCAGCATTCCTCCACCATTCGTCCACCTTTAGCAATGTTTGCTCCAGTCCCATGAATGAATATACCTGCTCTTGTCCCAAAATACCCGCTCCAGTCCTATGCCTGCTGGAATGGCATGGTAAAGGGTCTTCATCAAGTACTAAAGAAGAGGCATATAACTCTTAAACCTTATCTCCATTCAAGACGCACCTGGATCAGGTGCTATTCTATATCCACAGCTCACACCATGACTGCATGACTGCGGCAAGCAAGTTTCCAGGGTGTCAGATGAAGTGACTGAGAGCTCTCGCTACCTACTCAGAAAAAGACATTATGTCCATGAATTTAAATCACACCATGGCCCAGGGGTATCTTCACGATACCTCGGACAAGAGTCAGCCCAGTCTAAATATGTACGATATTTTGACTGTGCCACTACACATGAAACTATAATTTGCAACACAGCTGCCCCCCCCCCCCCCCCCCCCCTC